CAACCCGGGAAGAACCAGCAGCAAACCGGGAAGGGCCGAGCAGACGAAAGAACAACGCAGGGTCCTGTGTCGTTCCTCCACGAAGACGGGGAGCGACACTCTGCCTGGCAAAAAATAAAATTAAATTAAAAAACAGGGTGAGTCGTAAAAGGTGCCTCGGAACACTGTGACGATTGAGTGTTACAAGGTCACGTTCGTCCTCATTGGGTAGGTGCTGGTTCCCGGGGCCCCGTCGCATGCCAGGGCTGCACTTGCTGCTCCCTCGTTCTCTCAATCCCTGGCTGCTCAGGGGAAAGCAGATCTTCTCCTTAGAGTGAATTGTCCCAAGCCGGGAATTGTCTCCTGTTGCATCCAAGACTTTTTTAATGTAACTTTTTGTTTCCTCTGGAGTTGTCACTTGCCTTTCTCTCACTGCCCAAAGAGTAGTCTGCCTCTCGGCACTCCAGATCACTGGGCACCTCGCTTTCCCACTCCCACCCACGGAGCCCACGTTTCTCCTTCCTGCCAGAGACTCTGCATTTATCAGCTTTTCATCATTTATTTATTTATTTGACAGAGTTACAGACAGTGAGAGAGAGAGAGAGACAGAGAGAAAGGTCTTCGCTCCATTGGTTCACCCCCTAAATGGCCGCTATGGCTGGTGCTGCGCCGATCTGAAGCCAGGAGCCAGGTGCTTCTTTCCGGTCTCCCATGCGGGTGCAGGGCCCAAGCACTTGGGCCATCCTCCACTGCCTTCCTGGGCCACAGCAGAGAGCTGGACTGGAAGAGGAACAACTGGGACTAGAACCGGCGCCCATATGGAATGCCGGCACTGCAGGCGGAGGGTTAACCTAGTGCGCCACGGCACTGGCCCCAGAAGAGGGATATCTTTAGCTAACGGTTCTGAGGTTCAAGGGCATGGCATTGGCTCGGTGCTGGTGACGGCCTTCTCGCCAGCAGAGTCCCAGGTGCTGCAGGAGGGTGCATCTGTGTCTGTGTGTCCAGGATGCAGCCACATGGTAATACCTTGCCACCTCTGAACACCACAGTGGGTTCAGTTTCCACCCTCTTAATGCCGTCAGTACCACTGGGGGTCAACTCCTGCGTGGGTGTGGGGAGACAGACCACACGCAAACCACAGCGCCCTTCCAGGTCCCTGTGGCTGCTATGCTGTTCCCCAGTTACGCAGCTCCCAGCCTGCACTCAGTGCTGCACATCTGCTACCATTTGTGGCTCCCCAGGTTGGAGACACTGTCCCAAAAATCTACATCTTCCGCTCCTTTGCTTTCATCCTGGATTTTTTTTAAAAAAGATTTATTTATTTAAGAGTCAGAGTTACACAGAGAGAGGAGAGGCAGAGAGAGAGATCTTCCATCTGATGGTTCACTCCCCAATTGGCCACAATGGCCAGAGCTGCGCCGATCTGAAGCCAGGAGCCAGGAGCTTCTTCTGTGTCTCCCATGTGGGTGCAGGGACCCAAGGACTTGGGCCATCTTCTACTGCTTTCCCAGGCCATAGCAGGGAGCTGGATTGGAAGTGGAGCAGCTGGGTCTCGAACCACTGCCCATATGGGATGCCAGCACTGCAGGCCAGAGCGTTAACCCACTGCACCAAAGCACTGGCTCCAGATTTTTTTTTTTTAAAGATTTATTTGAAAGGCAGAGTTACAGGGAAAAGGAGAGACAGAGATCTTCCATCTGCTGGTTCACTCCCCAGATGGCCTCAACAGCCACAGCTGGGCTAGGCCAAAGTCAGGAGCCAGGCACTTCATCCGGGTCTCCCACGTTGTTGGCAGGAGCCCAGGCTCTTGGGCCGTCTTCCACTGCTCCTCCCAAGCCACCAACAGGGAGTGGAAGTGGAGCAACCTGGGCATGAGCAGGTGCCCACGTGGGATGCTGGCACCCCGTTCTGGCTTTGCTGGAACCCGTTGTCTGGTCGCCACCATGTGTCTGTCACTGCTGTAAGCCTGGAGTTGTCATGGCAAACATGACAGAGAAAGAAACTTCTCTCTTGAGATGATAGTGGGTGAGCAAACTAAGAAGCAAGCAACGATCAAATACCTTGGTTTCTGGGAGGAAATCACAGGTAAAGAGGGAGAAGGCAGTGAGACCAACGCAGCTTGGAACACAGGGGCTGCTAGCCAGCTTGGCCAGGGCCTTTAGTGGCCCTGGAAGACTGCTCGTAGGAAGGCCGGTGAGGCTGGTTAGGGAGTGAGAAAGCCGGGATTCCGGCCGCGTTCTGTCCTGGTTCCGTCCTGAGGCTGAGCTGGGCTGAGGAAGTGCATGGGAAGGCAGGACCTGATGGGGGTGTGGGTGCCAGCAGGTGCTGCTCCTCACAGGCCCAAGACCAGAGGGACTGGGGACGGTCCTGCTCCCAGGGGGATTATGGTTCGGGACATGAGCCTGGGAGCCCATGTCCTCCTCCTGCCCCTTGCTCCCCTGGGGCTGCAAATACCCCAGGGCAGTGGGCCCTGAAAGCAGGGCCGAGTCCTCTCTCCGCTCCAGTAGAAGCCTGGGGCCTCTGCCGGGAGGCTCGCTGCCACCCTGGCAGCTGAGGGGTTAACGCCTGCTTGCAGAGCCATTTCCTAGGCAACGCTGGTGCTGGCGCTGGCACTGGCGCCGGCCGGTCCCAGGGAAGGACCTCGGCTGGATATGGGGGGTGCGGGCGCAGTGCTGCCCTGCTTCCACCCCACCCCACAGCCCCCAGGACGGCCCGTTTCCATGGGATGTGGCTCCTGTTTGCAGGCTGAAAGCCTGGGCCTGCTGGGGGCGGCAGAGCAGCCCTCTGGGCCCTCCGCAGCCCTGCCCCAGAGAGGGGTGGGGAGAGGGGGCGTCGGGTGAGGGGCTGTGGGATGTTCTTCATCTGTCTTTGAGGACACCGGCCATTTGTTCACTCACTGCCCACCAAGGGCTGGCCCCGCATCAGGTGCTGGCGGCCGGGAGTGTGAGAGCTGCAGCCCTTCGTCTGCAGGGGCAGGAAACAGCGAGCACACAGCATGACCTACATTGAAAGAAAATGGGCGCAGTAGGTTAATCCTCCACCTGCAGTGCTTGTGTCCCATATGGGCGCCGGTTCGAGACCCGGCTGCTCCACTTCCGATCCAGCTCTCTGCTGTGGCCTGGGAAAGCAGTCGAAGATGGCCCAAGTGCTTGGGCCCCTGCACCCGCGTGGGAGACGTGGAAGAAGCTCCTGGCTCCTGGCTCTCACTCTCTGTAACTCTGACTCTCAAACAAATGAATAAAATCCTTACAAAGAAAACAGAGTGCATGGGGACGGCCTCTCTGAGTTCAGAGGCAGTGCCGGCGAGGTCTGGGGGGTGGGGGTGGGGGGAGTGTTCCAGGTAGAGGGAACAGCAAGCACGGAGGCCCCGAGGCAGAGGCCAGCTGCACACACGAAGGAACCGGGGCAGGCGTGGGCGTGGCGGTAACATGGGCTTGCTAAGGCAGGGGAGGATTGGGATTTTACGGCAGTTTTAATGGGAGCAGTGGAGTGTTCGAAGCACAGGTGTGGTGTGATCTGGCTTGTGTTTTAAGTTCTTGTTTGTTTAATTTATTTGAGAGGCAGAGAGACAGAGCCCCATCTCCTGGTTCACTCCCCCAAATGCCTGCAACAGCCAAGGCTGGGCCAGACCAGAGCCAGAGCTAGAAACCCAGTCTAGTCTCCCGTGCGGATGGCAGGGACCCGGTGACGTGAGCCGTCCCCTGCTGCCTCCCAGGGTGTGCGTTAGCAGGAAACCGGAGTCAGGCATGGAGCCGGAGCTCCAGCCCAGGCACTCGGACCTGGGGCGTGGGTGGCCCAAGCGGTGTCACAATCACCGTGGCCAACACCCGCCCCCAGGCTCGTGTTTTAAGAGGTGTGTCTCGTGGACTGCAGGGCACGTAGAGAGAAGGGTGGGAGCCAAGTTGCAGAGCGTCGGTCTCCCCGTGTCTTCTATGGGGGAAATTTAGAGGGGCG